CCCTCTTAGGCCCCGTTTGGTTGCAAAAGAGAAAGGTTGAAAGCCTGACAAAAGCCTGACAAAAGCTACGCTTATTAAGGACAGGCTTTCAGCATTGTTATTAACTTATTATGCAACCAAACGGGGCCTTAAAAACAAGCAAACAAACAGCCCCTTATTAAGGACACTGACAAAATTCGCGTTTTAAGTACACTTTCAGATATTGTAAGAATTTTATTTCTCTATATCGTCCCTAACCACATTCCATTTCACCTTGCATCATCATCAATGACGAGGCCTCAATCTGGGTTCGGCGGTATAATGCTATTATTGGAGGTTGTGAGCTCTCCTCTCTTCAGTAACTAAGACCATTTTTGGGCCACAATTTTCTTCACATACAGGGTGCTTTGCTCAATGCGTAGTAGCACTTTGGGGATCCATAAAGCCAAGCAAGAACACGACTGATGTCAGTTTCAATGACAGTTGTGCAAATATTCGTATTCATCCTCAAACAGGAGTGTGGGGAGCTCGGTAGATTCTTGGTCAGTGAATATTTCACTTGCATTATACATGCCTGTGTTCCACCTTCTCATCAGAGAAGCAAGGTGACTGACCTGCTTATCATACCAGTCCCCAGTGACGCCCCCGTATAATTTATCAGGGTTGTATTTAGAATCTATGTTAATAGCTTTATTATTTGCTTCTTCTTAGTGCTGTCATGTGTTTGCGCCGGTGGTGTCTTAAGTGGCAAATATGAATAAATTAATTAAAATATTTATAAAACAGGAAATTCAGTAGTATCCCGTGACGTCATTGGACACTATGTAGCTCTGCCATTGCCATTCCCGTGTCAATTGGTAATTTGTCGGTCCAAAGAAATTGGCAAATTTCTCAACTTTGATAAGTAATGTCACTATTTGTCAATTTTGACAAGGATGCAAGTGGGCAAACAACGCCTCTAACTCTAATTAGTATCTCATGATGTTGGCATTCCTTGAAGAAACGGCGAAGAAGAACATGAAATTTGAAGTGCACAGAATTTGGCTACGGGTCGGTCGACCAAAGGCATAGGCCCAATCGACCGAAAGACTGTTGGTTTACATTCCTGATAGAGATATTTATAGTAAGGAGATTCTGGCGACAAAGTTTTTCCAAAAAAAATGAACAAAAAACATTTCTCTTTTTTTGGCCCAAGCAATATCCGTGTGATCGAAAAGTCACTATGTGCATACTTTAGTTATTTTTTTGAAGAATTATAACAAAAAATTGGTGGCTAGCAAAAATAACACCTCACTTATCTTAATCGGTTCTATAGTTTTGAATAAAAAAAAATTAATTTCTCCTTGCTCTTCTGTTCTTTTTTGACGTCACCTCTCTGCTGTTCTCGCTGGAAGAGTCGCTATGAGTTTTTTTTTGCCCCCTTCCACTTTTACGTGACCCGGCCTTTGGGATCTTTAGTAGAGTCGTTTCATATTCATTTTATGTTGTTTTTTCTCTGTTTAAAATATCTTAGATTTATGGTACTTTCCCAGATCGCAAGTTCTAAGGCTCGGTTTCCTTCCTGTAACGAGCTTGAAAGCTTGAAACAACTGAAGTCGTTCCGTTCATGTATCTGCAGTGCTCGTCACCC